GATCTATGAGGAAGGAGCGGAAAATGTAAAAAGGAATAAAAATAACCTTTTCAAAATTGTGCTGGGGAAAGGAGAGCTGCAGCCCAAAGAATGAAACTAGATCATGATCTAATACCATACACCAAAATCAATTCAAATTGCATAAAAGACTTGGATATAAAACCTGAAACCATAAAATACATAAAAGAAAATTAAGCATAACATTTCATGACATAAACTTTAGTAATGACTTTAGGGCTTAAGCCTCAACATCAAGGAAAAAAAAAAAAAAAAAAAAGAATGTAAACGGCCTGGACTATATCAAACTGTAAAACTTCTGTACAGTGAAATAAACCATAAGTAAATTGAGAAGACACTTTGCTGAATATGAGACAAGATTTTCCCACAGTACATCTGACAAAGAACTGATATGAAAGATATACAAAGAACTCACAAAACTCTACACAAAGAGAATAACCCAATGAAAAAAGAATGGGCAAATGAGCTAAACAGACAATTCTTCAAAAACTTTCAAACAGCCTTCAGGCACATGAAAAATGTTCACAATTAGTTATTATTAGAGAAATGCAAATCAAGACCGCGGTGAGATACCATCTCACAGCTGTTAGAATAGCCCATATCAAAAAGACCAGAAACAAAAAGTGCTAGGGGGATATAGAGAAAAGGGAACCCTTCTACACAACTGGTGGAAATGCAAACTGGTTCAGCCCTAATGGAAAGCAGTATGGTGGTGGCTCAAAATATTAAACATGGATCTGCATTCGACCCAATAATTCCAATCCTAGCCATCTAAAAAAAAAAATCTCAAAAAAATCAAAAACACTAATTCAAAATGAAACATGCACTCCCATGCTTATTACAGAACTATTTATTATAGGGGCCTCTGGTGGTGCAAGGGGTTAAGCATCAGCACTATGAAGCAATCCACAGCTACTACAGCACGAGTTAGATCCCTGGCTAGGGAGGTGACCCACATGGCGCAACAGACCTTTCCTGACTCGCCCACTGCTCCCCTCAGCAGCGTATATCGGTCAGTCTTCCTGTTCTGCTCCCCACCCTGTCTCTGGTGAATCGTCTCACCGTGCCCCTCACACCTTTGGCCTGTATCCCAGTTCTTGCATTCATAAATAAATAAATCCTTTAAAAAAACTATTTACTATAGCTGAATTATGGAAGCATCCAAAGTGCCTAGAATAGTGATAGGATCAAGAAGATGTGTGTCTATACATATATATACACAATGGAGTACTACTTAGTGATCAATAAAGATAAACTCATGCCGTCTGTGGCAAGATAGATCGAGTTTGAAAGGATAATGTTAAGTGAAATAATTCAGAAAGAGGACAGAGATAAATACCCATTGGTGTCACGAATATGTGGAATATAAATAACTAAATGTATAGTCAGATAAACACAAGCGAAAAAGTAACCCTTAATAGTTGGTTACTGGCTTGGTTGGTGGAAGGGAAAGAACAAAATGGGAAGAAAGCACAATGGTCTGCATTAGTAGAATAGTACCACCAATAGTACCTCAGTTAAAAATAAATTAATAAAAAAAAAGGAAAGATAAAAACCATATGATCATATCAGCATATGCAGAGAAATTATTTGACATGATTCAAAATCTATTTGTGATGGAAATGTTCTTAGGTAGAAATAGATTATACATATGTCAATATATGAAGACCATATAATGCCAAGTCCACAGCTAACATCATACTCAATATCAGGAAACTGAAGGATTTTCCTCTAAATTCAGATACAAGACTATGTCTACTTTCACTCTAATATTCAATATAATATTAGATGTCCTTGCTAGAGAAATTAGGCAAGATAAATATATAAAAGGAATTCAAATTATAAAAGAACTAAAACTATCACTATGTATATAGCATGATAATATAATAGAAAACCCTAAATATTCCACAAACAGTTAAGAAACACTGTCTGCATTCCTATAGGCAAACAGCAAGCTAGAAGAGATAGAAATCAAGAAACAATTCTGTTTATAAGTGTATCAGAAAGAATCAAGTACCTGTACATCATAAACTACAAGACATAATGAAAACAGATATATGAAGTCACAAAGAATTGGAAAGATATGTCATGGATTGAATGAATTTACTGTTAAAACGGCCATCTTACCCAAATCAATATAGATTCAGTGCAATTTCTATCAAAGTTTCAATGGTATTCTCAAAGAAGTAGAGGAAACATTACTGAAATGCATATATAGTCCATCTGAAATTTATGTTCTCCCAAACTCATTCTTTTTCATTGAGTATGATTGGATAATCTTGAAAATAAAGGTTAATGTAGCAAAAAAAAAAAAAAAAAAAACTGGAACAATGTCAAATTTCTATTTTTGACATGTACTGAGGTTATGAAAGAGAATGCTATTCTTCTACGGAAATATATACACAAATATTCACAGGTAAAGGAGCATGATATGTGTAAATACTCTCCAATACTTCAGAGAGGTGAGCAAGAGAGAAAAAGGAGAGGGGGAAATAAAGGGGAAAGGGGTTAGAGAGATAAATGGAAAGGGCTGGAAGGTGGAGGTAGGGGAGTGGGAAAAACAGAGAAAGAAATTGAAAATGATAAAATAAAATGCAAAATGTTAATTGGTAAATTTATGTAAAGGGCATATGGAAGTTATTTTTGACATGCAAATTTTGAAGTGTAGAATTAGATTGAGTTAAAAAGTTTAAAAATACAGGGCCTCCCTAGTGGTGCAGTGGGTTGAGCACAGCCCTGTGAAGCTGTCCGCAGCCTCTGCAGTGTGGGGTCAATTCCCAGGCTGCCAGGGAGAAACCCACATGGTGGGACAGACCTCTCCTGTCTCGTCCGCTGCTCCCCTCAGCAGTGTATTTCGGTCATCTGCCTGTTCTGCTCCCTGCTCTGTCCCTGGTGAGTCCTCTCACCCTCCTGTGCATGTGGCCTATACCCCAGCTCTTGTATAAATAAAAAATAAATTAAAATAAAAAATAAAACTAAAAAAAGTTTAAAAATACAAATATAAATATCAACAATTCTCCAACATTGAATTATCATTCTTTCATTAAATAATAACAATATTTCATTTAATGAGTTTTATATTTCCAAAATCTACTGGGACAAAGAACACTGTATAATGTTGCTTTTTCTTACAAAAAAGGGTAAAAATCATTAAACATTTCAGAATAGAAAATAAGATTAAACTAATGATTTCACAATGCTTTTTTTTTTTTTTTATATAGAGGCATGTTTTCTTTCTTCTTTCTTTCTTTCTTTCTTTGTTTTTGTTTATACATGCACTGGGTACAGTCAGAAGCGCGGGAGGGTGAGAGAATTCACCAGAGCCAGAGCGGGGAGCAGAGCAGGCAGAAGGACCAAAGTACACTGCTGAGGGGAGCAGCGGGCGGCAGGAGAGGTCTGCGCGCCTTGTGGGACCCTCCTCCGGTGGCCGGGGAGCAGCTTGGGATCGAACCGGCGCTGCAGAGGCTGCGGGCAGCTTCACAACCCAGCGCTCAACCGCTGCGCCACCGGGGAGGCCCTTCACAATGCTTTTTAATAGATCCCACCAATGTCTGCAAACTTACTTATTCTTTTGTCTGTAAATTAAAAAAAAAACTTGCATCGGGCCTCCCCTGGTGGCACAGGCGGTAGAACGCCGCACTATGAAGCTGTCCACAGCCTCTGCAGCGCCGGTTTGATCCCGACCAGCCAGTGAGGGTCCCACATGGAGCAGTAGACCTCTCCTGTTGCATCCGCTGCTCCCCTCAGCAGTGTATTTCGTCAGTTTGCCTGTTCTGCTGCCCGCTCTGTCTCTGGTGAATCCTCTGACCCTCCCGCACATCTGGCCTGTACCCAGGTTCTTGTGTAAATGAATAAATAAATCTTTAAAAAAAATTACATCAAAAAAGACATCATAGTCAATGGAAAATTTAGTCATATTATTACTTTAGAAAAGAAAACTGAAAACACACTAAAATTACAAATCAATAAATTAGAAAATGAAAATAACATATAAAATAAAGGTAAAAGCAAAATTTATTAAAATAGAAAACAAAATATTCACTGGTGACACATTAAACTAAAAGTAGGAAATATATTAGAAAATTGATTATTATAATTTATCACAAGTCACATTATCATATTAATGGAAGAAAAATAACACTATTAGTTGATAGAACTTATATAAATTATTTGAATAAAAATATCCCATACTCATTCAGAATAAAAACTCTCAGCAAACTTTATCAACAGAAACACCCTTAGGAGGAAGGAGCGGGTAGGAGAAAAGGCTGAAAAGGATCCAGTGGTGTATGGTAAAGGGATATTGGTGCTTTGGTGGTAGGTGTGGTGTAGTAACATACATCTAGGGAGGTGAGGCCGTGTGAACCTATTCCTCTAAATCATACACAGATTTGTAAAATAATGTTACCTCAAAAAAATAAAAAAGAAACTGATAGTGTGAAAAAGAAAAATACATGAAAATTGGTAATACATTTGTAGAATTCCATTGTAAATTCAGCACCAACACAAGGAAATACTCTCACTGTTTCTCTTATTGTACTGAAGTTACTAGCTAGCACAATAAGCAAATCGAAAAAATAAATATTGGAAAGGAAGAAATTACCATTATTCATGATATAGTTAATGAACAGAGAGTCCAAAAGAATGTATAAAGCATTAGAACAAATATAATTCAGGAAGGCTGATGCATATAAAATCATTATGTAAAATATCAATCAGAATATCTAAAATCTAGCTAAATAGATACATTTCATTGTAACAACAAAAACTACGAGGTATTAGGCACTCCTAATCAAATATCTTACAGGTTACATTATTATTATTTGGTAAACATGGCTTCACATAATGCAGAAAATGGTTTCGATTTTATATTTGGTGCTAGATTTGTTTTTTGTTTGTTGGTTTAGCTAGTTATTTTAAATATGTCATAATCAATTCTCATTCCTCTCCCTCTCTTAATAAGGTATTGGTAAAGAGATTACCTTAAAAATCACAACTTCCAAGTGCCTGGCATCAGAAGCAGCAGGGTGGTATTGTCAACAGTTTTCATTGTCTTCTCTGGATGAACTATTTTATGAATGCACCAAGGAAATGGAGTCATACTGCTATCTTTCAAAAACTGAAAAATCGTAAAAATAAGGTGAAATTATTTCTTCTGCTGCTGCCTGTCTCTTTCCCCTGTTCTCTTCAAGTCCTTATGCTCCACTATACCCCCTTTTAAAGTATATATTCCTGTAAAAAGTTTATGTATAATATATTAGAAGGGGCCTATTGCATAGCAGTGAAGAGCATAGACTCTGCAATTACTTTAGAAGAGTATCCAGCACATTAAATATGTACAGTGAATAGTTGCCATTATGGAAATTTTCAAAGTTTTTAATCACTAGAGAAATTATGTACCTCTTGCCCTACACAACCTCCATTGATTTTTATCTCAATATTGCTGTCCTCTGACTCCTCCCAACACATCCACTACCACTACCCCTTTAGACAAAGAAGTAAAGTTGAAGTCAGACTAAGTGTGATGGTGAGAATGGGGTTAAGTGAAACAGCACACATTCTTTTTCAAAGCACAATCACCAAGTCCCAAATGCAGAATCCTCTTAGTCGCCAATGTTAACCTAGCATTCATTGATTTATTTATTTAAATGTTTATTTCGCTCTTGCTATGTACCACATACTATGCCTTTGTTGTCATCACTATGCAGCTCCCAGCACAATGCCTACTCCATAAAGGATTCCATTACGGTTTATTGCATGAATGAAGAAAGGCTGCCTAATCCCTTTAGATTATAAAGATCTGTGAGATTTGGTTTTAACTTTAGCATTTTATATATTCATCTAAATAGAAGATTATTTCTCTGAGAGTAAACAGTGGAGTCCCAAAATACATCACTTGCTCGAAAAGCAATGGTTGTTAACTACTTATGGATACTGCATTCTTCTTAGCACAACATCCAAGGTCCTGCAACACTATCTTCTCAGCACTCATAGGCTTCAAGTTATAGCCAAGCTTTTCCCATAACAACTGTCTTGACTGCTCTGAAAACACTATTGCTGAAAAGCAATACCACCCCCTCCACGCAGCAAGTAGCACCCTTTAAGGCCCATCCAAAGTTCCCCCTCTTTAATGGCTTGGCTCATGATTACTACCAGGCAAAATGAGTTGCTCAATCCTCAGTGCTTTCTGAATACCTTGAAGCAAACATTGTAGCACTTGGGTTTGAGTTACTATGTTGTAAGTTTTTTTACTAATTAAAATTTCCAACTATACACAAAGAAACATTTCTGAAGATTCACCTTACTATATACCCTGTTATTACAGTACTAGGCATAGGAATTAGGCCTTCAATACATTGTTATTGATCTTGAACCAAGTATTTCTTTAAATGTAAAAGTTTCAAACACAAGCAAAAGTAGAGAAAACAGTATAATAGTTCCCATGCATACAACACCCAGTTTTAACATATATCAACTCACAGATATTTTATTTGAACCCTTTCCCCCACCTCCACCCCATTGAATTACTCTCAAGCACATCAAAAGACTTAGGTTTATTTCCGTAAAGATATAGCTACAATTATCACAACTAATATACTAAATATAATGGCATTCATGTATATTTCATCAAAGAGCAATGTTCTTTCAATTTCGAAGCTGCGGAGAGAACAAGGAAAAGGAGAGATCTGGGAAAATGCATAATTAAGTTTCGGAGAGCCTGAATGTCCCAGATGTGAAAAGAAAGAATCTGACCTGATTTGGGTTGGAAGAAGTATATTCTACTACTTCTCCGGAGGAGGAAGATGCGATTTCAGACTGGGTGATGCAGGAGGAGGTGCTGAGGGGAGAGGGTTACTGCCTCTGTTGGGGGTTCCTTCAGGATAATCCCACCGCGGAGCTAAGAGGCAGCGCTTTTTGGGAGGCTTGACTTCTCGTGTGTTTCCAGGTGGGAGCGTGGATCTCCCAGAGGTACAAGGTTGGTCCCCCATAAGGATTATAGGAACCGGGCGTCAGCTCTCTCTGGTGGGCCTTGGCGAGGCCAAGAGACCTGAGATGGCGGCGGGTCCCCTTCAGGCACAGAGCTTCCTCCCCGTTTCGTTCTTACCGTATTTCCTGTATCCTGAGACGTATATCCCCTCACCGCCTCCGCCCGGGTTCCCTATCCCACTCCATTTTAACGTTTCTACAAGGATTGATCTTAACAAAACGATGAGTATACTTAATATAATGTGTTTCTGTCGTCCCTCCCTCAAAGGTAACTAAATCTAAGGAAAGAGTCATACAAAGTATGCAGTTTTAAGATTGGTTAAGAAATTCAGATTTACTCCTAAATGGTAAACTGCATAGATTATGGATAGACGCGGAGTAGTGGTGGGGGTGACGGCAAGAACAAAGAAATTTTTGAAGAACTAAGGGCTTTACAATCGATTTGCAGATGCACAGCACAGGGCCATGAGACTACCTACAACCGTTTAAAAAGCAATATAACGAGCATGTTAGTTGACTAAGTGCAGAATGGCACACTAGCACACACCATGGAAATAGACCGTGGAAAATAAACTCACCATAGAGCGTAGATTCTAAGATCACATTTTTGGGTTATATTTTAACAAATTAGAAATCTTTGATGGCTTACCTTTTTAATGTTTCACAATCGGGCAATCTCTGATAATTGATGACATGTCATATTTTAATTGATAATGTACTCTTTTTTTTTTCTTTCTTAGAGGTATGGAAAACAATGATTCATTATTGTGGGGTATTATATTCTATGATATATGGTAAGTAATCATTAGAGTGTGCAAAGTAGTTAAGAAAAGGCTACTGGAGTATCTGGAGACCTTCATCATTCTAACAGACTTCACTGACACACACACACACACACACACACACACACGCCTCCTGGGCTACTGACAAACTAGATCACACTTCTCCAGGTTCGTTTTCAGTGTTGTTTTGTTGTTGTTTTTTGTTTGTTTGTTTGTTTGTTTTTGTTTAATGAAGTGAGTTCAATCCTTAATGTCAAAATAGACCTGACTTTTTTTTTTTTTAAGGAACTGCTTTATGATATTTAAGTAGTTTTATATTTGGAAATTCAGTTTTCTGCCATAATTAGGAATAATGTGTTTACCGTACTTTAATAATTCATCTGTAGCATCATTACCTTCCTTTACATGAATTAGGTGCTTAGTAAACGTTTGGGAAATAAGTGACCCTATGGTTTAGGGTTTTCTACCAGGTGCTACTAATTAAGACAAGAAATGAACAGTAAGTTAATGAAAAAATGTGAAGGGGATACCAAGAGAAACTGGTTTAAGAGCTAGAAGAGCACTTGGGACTAAACATTTGGCAGTGAGCATCAGCAGCATAGATGTGGTAGTTGAAATTAGGGGCATGAATGATATCCCCAAGAAAAAAATGTAGAAGAAAGAGAAGTGGGCTAAAGACAGAATATTGAGTAGAGAAAGAGGTAAGAGAAGTCTTTTGAAAAGGTTAAGACAGTGGCCAAAGTCAAAGGAGAGAACTCTAGCCCAGAGTTTATTTTCTTGTCACTGTTGACATTAATATTAACCTGGGTTGGGATATTTCTAAACATCCTACAATGCACTGGCAGACCCCCACAACAATATGACCTCACTTTAAGTTTTAATAGTTGTACTAACCAAAAAAAAAAAATTCTGTGGGGCAAAATCATCCCTGCTGAGAACCATTATTTTAACCCCTAATCTTCAAACTTGTTCCCCACCTTGTCTTCTTCATCTCAGTAAATTCCATACCCCATAACCAAATCTTGCAATGCCAAATCTTGTAATCTTTTGTATTAAAATGCAGAATTTTTCATATTTCCCAAAGCAAGTAAAGTAACATTTTTACAATCTTTTTAACATGGGTATCTAAATCGGGGAAACTAAAGGCTTTAAGAGCAAAAGTTGAAATTAAGTTGTTCTACAGCTATAATTTTAGTAAATTAAGAGACATATATGCCTAGTTAGTAAAATGACAGAAATTAAAAATTGTATCAAATCCAGTCGAGTTTGATTTATGGTTATCATTTGACTTGAATGGAAAATAGTCCTCATTTATGGTTGCTGCCATAAATCAACTTGTAATATTTATACTTTAAGTGGAATTTTCTATTTTTTTTAAGATTTATTTATTTATTTATACAAGCACTGGGTACAGTCAGAAGTGCAGGAGGGTGAGAGAATTCACCAGAGACAGAGCGGGGAACAGAACAGGTAGAAGGACCGAGGTACACGGCTGAGGGGAGCAGGGGGCAGCAGGAGAGGTCTGCGCGCCAAGTGGGACCCTCACCCGGCTGCCGGGGATCGAACTGGCGCTGGAAAGGCTGCGGGCAGCTTCGCAGCCCAGTGCTCAACTGCTGCGCCACCAGGGGAGGCCCGAAATTTTCTATTTTTAATTGTGGAAAAATACACATAATACAGCATTTACCATATTAACTATTTTTAAGTATACAGTTCACTGGTGTAAAATATAATCACAGTGTTGTAGAACCAATCTCCAGACTGATTTTCATGCTTAGTAAACGAAATCTTCTCATTTCTCCCTCCCCAGCCCTTGGCAACCATTATATATACAATCGGATTTGTTTAATGCATATAAAAAATGGAATGGAAAACTAAAACTGTTTACTTATAGGTTTCAAATTATTTTTCCCTATCATCTTTTCCCAGTTAAGCTTCTCTTATTTCAACATTATTGACAAGATAACTCTGAATTATGAAGCCAGAAGAGGGCACTGTTTGGCTTAAGAATCTGGAAACAGATTTGAAAAGTGCTATAGATCAGAATTTCTTTCATAATTTAGAGTGATCAAAGGACCATCCACATTGCTGCAAATGGCATGAGTTTATCTTTTTTAATTGCTGAATAATATTCCATTGTGTATGTATGCCACATCTTCTTGATCCAGTCATCTATTTTTGGGCATTTGGATTGTTTCCAGGTTGGATGGAACTAGAAGGAATTATGCTCGGTGAAATAAGCCAGAAGGAAAAAGAAAAATATTGGATGGTTTCACTTATAGCAAGAATATAGGGGGACCAAATAAGACATCAGTGTAAAAAAATAATAACAGTACAAAACACAACAAAGCAAAAACAGACAATTATAAATTAGAGACATACTGAGGGCAAGGAGGAAGGAGAGGGAACAGAGGCGGGGAGGGAGGAGCACAGGGGACTATGAGGTGATGGTGCATGGATACACTGGTGAAGGAAACTCTATGGGGACTACACCTGAGGGGGTGGGGAAAGCAAATATTGTTTGAAAATGAACAATGATGTAAAAAATAAAAAATTAATATAAAAAATAGTGATCAAAGGATAACAACAAAAACCAAAACTGAACCCACATCTGGGTTATAGGAATCTGTTTTCATTTTGGGTGTTTTTTTTTAATTTGTTTATTTATTTTTAGATTTTTTTATTGAAATATTGCATTTTTATCATTATATAGGTTTCAGGTGTTTACTGTTGAGAATCAGCATGTTTATACACTATATTAAAGTCCAAACCCATTTTGACCATATCATTGTCCATTATTACCTTATTTACTCACCTACCTTCCCCCTTTCCTTCTGGAAGCCGCAACGTGGTTATAAGGTTATAAAAAGGTAGTTTTTATTTTAATTTATTCAACTCTTTGTTTATTCTGTATACTTCATGAGTGAAATTATGTGTTTTTTTTTCCTTAGTGTTGTTTATTTAAGCACAATTAACTCTAGGTCCAACTATGTTGTTGCAAATGGCAGGATTTTGTCATTTTATTTTTACAGTTGAACAGTAATTTAATTGTGTATACATGCCACATGATTCTTTTAATTTTTTTAGATTTAATTTTTTAATTATAAATATATTTTCTTACATAGTTGTTAATTTTTGTACACAATTTGATTTCTCCCCTCAGGTGTAGTCCAGTAGTTGTCCTACCACATTAACAAATGTGACCCATCACCATAGTTCCTTGTGTTCTTCCCTCCCCTATTTTGACACTTCCCCCTACCCATCCTCTGTTGAATGACTCAAATCTATGGTCAGTTTACAAGTTTTGTCTTTTTCCTGAACCTTTGTTCAGATTCCCAATATTCCACCTATAAGCGAAACCATGTGATATTTCTTTTTTCTTCTGACTTATTTCACTTAACATAATCCCTTCCAGTTCATGTGACATGAGTTTATCTTTTTTGATTGACAAGTAGTATTCCATTGTGTGTGTATACCACATCTTGATTCATTCAGCTATTTGGGGACATTTGGGTTGTTTCCATGTCTTAACAATTAAATAGTGCTGCCATAAACATAGGAGTGCATATTTCCTTTCGAATTAATGTTTTTGTCTCCTTTAGGTAGATTCATGGGAGTGAAAATGCTGAATCATATGGTACATACAATTGCAGTATTTTGAGGAACTTCCATATCACTTTCCATAGTGGTTGAACCAGTTTGTATTCCTATCATCAGTGTAAGAAGACTCCTTTTTCTCCACAACTTCATCAGCATTTGTTGTTTCTGGATATTTTTTTCTTTTAATGTGGGCCATTCTTACCAGTGTGAGGTGGTTTCTCATTATGGTTTTGATTTGCATTTCCCTGATAATTGGTGATGTTGAATATTTTTTCATAAGCCAGTTGACCACTTGCATTTCTTCTTTGGAGAAGTGACATTTTTATTTCTTATGTCCATTTTTTGACTGGGTTGTGTGCTTTGTTTTTGTTGAGTTGTGAAAGCTCTTTTTAGATCTTGAATATCCATCCCTTATCAGTTGTATTGTCTGTAGATATTTTTTTCCCAATCAGTAGGGTGTCTCTTCATTTTGGTTATTGTCTCTTTTGCTGTACAAAAGCTTCTAGTTTAATATAGTTCCAGCTGATTTTCTACGTAGTTTTCCTTGCTTGTAGAGATGAGTTCTCAAAGATGTTTCTGACGTGTATGTCACGGAGTATTTTGCTTGTGTTTTCTTCCATCTGTTTTAAGGATTCAAGTCTTATGTTTAAGTGTTTTACTCATTTTGAGTTGGCTCTGTGTATGGTGTGAGATCATATTCTAGTTCCAATATTAT